ATTTTGTCAAAGGTAGTAGCCCTCTGTATGATCTTCCTCAAGCTATGTGTCTAAAAAGAGGTACAAAAAAACCCCCACTCCTCATTCCCGCTCAAAGTATTTTGGTGCAAATTGCATATGGATCAATTGTTCTATAAATGTGTAAGCAAAAAATATTTCAAATGGAATTTATCTTAACATGGCAATTTTTAGTGCCAACTCCAGTAAAATGAAGCCAACAGCTTTATTGTTTACACTTGTGCTTAATACTTTATGAAACTAAAATATTAATAAAAATTAAAAGTGGAATAGAATAGAATAGAATAGAATAGAATAGAATAGAATAGAACTGGAAGGGACCTTAGAGGTCATCTAGTTCAACCCCCTTCTCAGGCAGGTAACCCTATACCATTTCGGACGAATGGCTGTCCAGTCTCTTCTTAAAAACTTCCAGTGTTGGAGCATTCACCGCTTCTGGAGGCAAGGAGTTCCACTGGTTAATTGTTCTCACTGTCAGGAAGTTTCTCCTTAGTTCCAGGTTGCTTCTCTCTTTGGTGAGTTTCCATCCGTTGCTTCTTGTCCTGCCTTCAGGTGCTTTGGAGAATAGCTTGACTCCCTCTTCTTTGGGGCAGCCCCTGAGATATTGGAAGACTGCTATCATGTCACCCCCTACTCTGTCTTTTCATTAAAAGTATATATTTTAATAAAAATATGTTAATATAATAATACAAATAACAATGACACCATGGCTTGTACTACCAATACTTATAAAAATTGTAATCTAATCATAGGAAGATAAACATTAGCTGAATTCAAGGTCATTTCTTTTTTCTAAGTTAATATTGAGTAGTATTACGTTTTAATTCTTTTCTTCTTCTTTTTTGAAAAAGGTAAATATTTTTTTTAAAACAATCTGCATCAAATTGTTGTTTGCAACTTTCCCTAGACAAGAAGTTCCGAATTAAACATTTCCCACAATACATAGCTTTTAATATAAATCTATGGCAAGCCTTCTTAAAACCATATTTACTAAGCGCAGGTGCTTTTTAACATGAAGTTTTCTGATGTAAGCTCTTTTTTTCTGCCTTTGCATAATGATTATACATATAAATTCATCGCACATTGCCTTTACATAAATTATGGGGAAATTTTTCAACAACAGCTGCCTTATCATCTCCCCAGTCCTATGTGATGTTAACAATATCTTTTAAAAATTCTCAGTATTTCATTGACAGTCACCTTTGAAAACCTCTTTGATTTTATGAGTTCGTTACAATTTTATAAATCTCATTACTTGCATACATTTCAAAATGTAATGTTCCTTCTTAAACTCTGTTGTTTGTGAGCGTGAGAAAGAACAAAAACACTTTTGCTAGTTTATTCTGGTTGTTCCAGTTTCCTTAGCATAGGTTGGTCATTGCTTCATTTTGAGCCAGCAGTGATAAAAATGGGAAATTTGCAGTTGCCATTTTGATTTCTGATCATACTGGAAAAAAAATAAAGTGGTAACTGGTTATTTTTGCAGCTTCCAGGGAAATGTAATACCTTACATCCACGAACAAATAATGATAGACACTAAAAAGAATACCCATTTATTACCAATGGTGATTGTTTCAGAACAAATGGGGAAAAATACACCAAATTTATTGGCAAGTTGATTTATTGGGGGGGGGGGGGTTTCCTGACAAGGTTAGGATTTTGTCTCCCTTCTCCACCTGCAGTGAATAGAAGAAATGAGAAACATGCTATAAATTAGTGTAGGGGTCCCCAGCTCCCAGGCCACAGACTGGAACTGGGCCGTGGCCTCTTAGAAACCGATCCATTTCATCTGCACATGTGTGGGATCTAAGTAGTGCACGGGACCATTCCCCCCGCCCACCGCCCCCATCATCGATCTGTGGAAAAATTGCTTTCCCCAAAACCAGTCCGTGGTACAAAAAAGGTTGGTGTAGGGCGCTGAATTAGAGGAAAACATTACTACGCTATGGATGCTTAATTAACTTCTGACTTTCATTAATGAGAGCGGATTTTGTTTGGTGGTTAAGGCATCAGGCTAGAAATCAGGAGGCTGTGAGTTCTAGTCTTGCCTTAGGTATGAAAGCTGGCTGGGGAACTTTGGACCAATCACTAAGCCACAGTAAGTTCTAGTCCCGCCTTAGGCATGAAAACAGCCAACCAGGTGATTTTGAGTTAGTTACTCTGTTGCAGCCCAACCGGCAGGGTTGTTGTTGTGGGGAAGACAGGAGGAAGAAGTATTATGTATGTATGTATGTATGTATGTATGTATGTATGTATGTATGTATGTATGATAATAATAATAATAATAATAATAATAATAATAATAATAATAATAATAATAATAATAATAATAATAATAATAATAATAATAATAATAATTTAATTTGTACCCCGCCCTTCTCCTCACCGGACTCAGGGCGGCTAACAGCCTTATAAAACCACAGTACAATAAATATCATTAAAACCAAATTAAAAGAAAATATTTGAAANAAAAACCCCACTAAAATTCCCTAGGCCAGACCCGCTTGTTGAAAAAGCCATGTCTTTAGGGCGCGGCGGAAGGAGGGGAGATCCGGGATCACCCGGATCTCTGGGGGTAGTTCGTTCCAGAGGGTGGGGGCTCCCACCGAGAAAGCCCTCCCCCTGGGGGTCGCCAGCCGGCACTGTCTGGCTGACGGCACCCTGAGGAGACCCACTCTGTGGGAGCGTACCGGCCGATGGGAGGTAACCTGCGGCAGAAGGCGGTCTCGGAGATATCCAGGTCCGATGCCAACAAACAAACAAACAAACAAACAAACAAACAAACAAACAAAATTAGTTATTACCCCATCTCTCTCTTCTTTGTGGCAGCCCCTGAAATATTGGGAGGCTGCTATCATGTCCCCCCTCGTCCTTCTCTTCATTAAACTAGACATACCCAATTCCAGCAGCCGTTCCTTATATGCTTTAGCCTCCAATCCCCTCATCATCTTCGTTGCTTTTCTCTGTACTCTTTCTAGAGTCTCAACATCTTTTTTACATCGTGGTGACCAAAACTGGATGCAGTATTCCAAGTGTGGCCTTATAAAGGTGTTGTAAAGTGGTATTAATACTTCACGTGATCTTGATTCTATCCCTCTGTTAAGGCAGCCTAGAACTGTGTTGGCTTTTTTGGCAACTGCAGCACACGGCTGGCTCATATCTAAGTGATTGTCCACTAGGACTCCGAGGTCCCTCTCACAGTTACTACTATTGAACAAGGCACCCCCCCCCATACTATACCTGTGCATTTGGTTCTTCTTGCCTAAATGTAGAACCAGGGCTTTTTTCACCACTGAATTTCATTTTGTTAGATAGCGCCCAGTGTTCAAGTCTGTCCAGGTCCTCCTGTATCCTAAGCCTGTATATGAGCCAAGGGAAAAATTTCTATATAACTTTGGAGCTGTGCTTTGTTTTTTGTTTTTTTACTCTATCTGTTGGTACACAACTTTCTTTCCACATAATTTATGCCTGAGGGCATTGTGCCAGCAGCCTGTTCATCAGAGGAAATGTCTTCCAAAGTAGATTTGTGTTAAACAGTTCAGCCATCTTAGACATATCGGGCATATCTCCTATTCTGCAAAACACAGCACTTGCCTGCCATAGATCCACTCCTACAATTACTACACCTGCTAGCATCTATGTGTCATTTAGAAACATTAGCAGAAGCGGAGTTTGGAAAAACAAAGATCTCCTACTTGCCAAAATGACAGATGAATATATTCAAAAGGCACCACAGGGAGAAAACAAACTGAGTTAACTTTAGCAAGCTTGGACTCTTTCCTAATGATTTCAGGGGATGGGTGGTAGGTGGGAGGGTAACCTAAATTTGTCCATTAGCCAACATAACTATATATAGGTAGTCCTCGACTTACAACCAAACTGAGCCAAAAAATTATGTTGCTGAGCAAGACAGCTCAGCATTTTATGATGGGGTGTTTTTTTGTCACAATTGTTAAATGAATCACTGAAATTGTTAAGTCAGTAACACTGTTGTTAAGTGAATCTGGCTACAATCCTCCAGATGTTGTCAAGCTCCAAGATCCAAAGCATGGTTAATAACAAGAGATTCTGGAGGACACGATCCACAACATCTGAAGGGTCACAAATCCCTGTTCCCTGCAGCTTAGACACAAGCAAGATCCTTGAAACACATTATTTCATTGCTTAATTGAAACCTTCATGTGCTTCTTGTTTATGGAGTATTTCTTGAGTTGGGTTAGGTTACCTTCTGTAGATGGATGGTCTGGCTTTTGGATAGAACGTTGATTTTTCCTTCTTTGTGTATTGGGCAGGATGTGGTAAGAAGATGAGACAGAATGGTGAATGAGGGTTACCAGTCTCAGGAATTTCCTGGGCTACAATCTATGCTTCTAGTGTCCTCCAGACTGAGGTTCTGGCTATTATTTCTATGCTGCTGCTGAATAATATATCCCAACAACCAGGGGGAAGATTAGTATCTGTTTATCAATTATAGATTGCTGCCCATTTTCCCTTCAACAACAAAAACAACAACAACGACAATAATAATAAAGTTGGAAGGGACCTTGGAGGTCATCGAGTCCAACCCCCTGCTCAGGCAGGAACCCTACACCATTTCAGACAAATGGCTGTCCAATCTCTTCTTAAAGACTTCCAGTGTTGGAGCATCCACCGCTTCTGGAGGCAGGTTGTTCCACTGGTTAATTGTTCTCACCGTCAGGAAGTTTCTCCTTAGTTCTAGGTTGCTTCTCTCCTTGATTAGTTTCCACCCGTTGCTTCTCGTCCTGCCTTCAGGCGCCTTGGAAAATAATAACTATCATAGCTAGCTAATAATCTTTTGGCTTTGAGGAAACTGTTCATACCAGGGACTTCACTTCTTTGGAAATACGGTAGATGTAGGAATAAAGGCATACCAATGAAAAAAATAAAACCTTATTCAAGCACATAAGATATGCTTTGTGTAGCTTACGTGAACTTTTCATGGGATGTGTTTCTTGACCTAGACCTCCATTTCTGAAGAGCTGAACAAGAGGCAGCTTCTATCACCCCAACGCCTTTCTATGGAGCATCCTGAGGAACACTTTCATAGGCAACGTGCTGTGAGTGCTGTCAGCATCATCACCAGCGCCCTGGAAGGTAAGACTTCCTTGTGATACTCGACCTAGAATAGGCGTCTCCAAATCTGACAACTTTAAGACTTGTGGACTACAACTCCCAGAATTCCCCAGCTCCTGTGGCAGACCGAGGATTTCTGGGAGTTTAAGTTTCCAAGTCTTCAAAGTTGCCAGATTTGGAGAAATATCACGATACAGGCAGTCCTTGACTTACGACTGATTGTTTAATGACCATTAAAAATTACAGTGGCCTTGGAAAAAGTAATTTATGATTTGTACTCACATTTACAATCATCGCACCGCCCTCCAAGGTCATCACGTAATTGTAATATAAGCACTTGGCAGTTGCCTCGCATTTATGACCGGTTGCAGCATCCTGGGGTCACATGGTCACGATTTGTAACTTTTCTTGCTGATTTCTGGCAAAGGACGCCCATTAGGGAGAAGCTGGTTCACTTAATGACCATATAATTCATTTAACTTCCACAATGATTCTCTTAATGATTGCCATAGAAATGGGTATAAAATCAATTTAGGGTCACAATGACTTATAATGGAAATTCTGGTCTCCCTTGTGGTTGTAAATCGAGGACTGCCTGTATAGAATAGAATATCAGGTCATGCACCACTTTGCTGATTGTTTGCTGAATGGCGGTGTATTCTGTATCAGCCTTCCTCTAATCCAGGGGTAGGCCACCTTGTCTCTTTTATGACTCGTGGACTTCAACTCCCAGAATTCCTGAGCCAGCATGGCTCAGCTTGGAAACTCTCCCTTTCCCCTCAGCATGGCTGGCTCGGGAATTCTGGGAGTTGAAGTCCACCAGTCATAAAAGAGCCAAGGTGGCCTAGCCCTGCTCTAATCTAATAGCTTCCAGATGCATTGCGACTACAACACCCAGAATTCCTAGGCAGCATTTCTTAAGCTCTGGGGGTTGCAGTCACAGCGCATCAGATGGACGTGGGGAATGTGTCCTAATATAAAAGTTACTCTAAGAGATCTTTATTTAACCTTTGGGAAAGAAATTCTGCTAATCTCCTCTTAATAGGATTTTGCATTGTTTCAATCAGAAGCGATGTTTGGTTAACTCCTAGCAGCTCAGAATTACACAGAGCCGTTGTATAAATATCGACTTAGAAGTAAGTAAGTTACATAATATATGGTCTGAATGTAATCACTTGTTATAGTGTGGAAATTGCCTTACCAAGTGCATAGATATCATTGTTGTAGCCTACTGCAGATTATTTTAGGGATGACACACAACCGTTAGATGCTCCCCTTGTCGGTGATTCTCCGGACACTTTTCACACCAGATAGTTTTGCCCTTCTGAATGTATCTAATAATAATAATAATAATAGTAAAGTTGGAAGGGACCTTGAAGGTCATCTAGTCCAACCCCCCGCTCAGGCAGGAAACCCTATACTATTTCGGACAAATGGCTGTCCAGTCTCTTCTTAAAAACTTCCAGTGTTGGAGCCTTCACAGCTTCTGGAGGCAGGTTGTTCCACTGGTTAATTGTTCTCACTGTCAGGAAGTTTCTCCTTAGTTCTAGGTTGCTTCTCTCCTTGATGAGTTTCCATACGTTGCTTCTTGTCCTGCCTTCAGGTGCTGGGAAAGAGTCCAGGTAGTGCTCAATTAAAAACCACAATTGTTGCTCAGCAAGACAGTTTTTAAGTGAGTTTTGTCCCAGTTTACGACCTTTCTTGCCACAGTTGTTAAGTGAATCATTGCAATTGTTAAGTTAGTAATGTGGTTGTTAAATGAGTCTGGCTTCCCCATTGACTTTGCTTGTTGGAAGTTTGCAAAAGACAACCACGTGATCTTGAGACACTGCAACTGCCATAAATATAGGCCAGTTCCAAAATGTTCAAAATTCCAAAATTTTGATCAAGGACCACCTGCACATACTTCACTACATATTGGAACTTCCTTTCCAGCCACCATTTCCCTGGGGTAATTTTGTATCCAGTCTACTCAGATGTAAAATTGGTAGAAATAAGGGCAAAAAAGAGGGAGGCATTTAGGATTGGTTCTGTGCCAAGGGCAGGGGTAGGCCACCTTGGGCTCTTTTCTGACTCGTGGACTTCAATTCCCAGAATTCCTGAGCCAGCCATGCTGAGGGGAAAGGGAGAGTTTCCAAGCTGAGCCATGCTGGCTCAGGAATTCTGGGAGTTGAAGTCCATGAGTCATAAAGAGGCCTAGGCCTAGGCCAGAGGTAGGCAACCTTGGCTCTTTTATGACTCGTGGACTTCAACTCCCAGAATTCCTGAGCCAGCCATGCTGAGGGGAAAGGGAGAGTTTCCAAGCTGAGCCATGCTGGCTCAGGAATTCTGGGAGTTGAAGTCCACGAGTCATAAAAAGAGCCAAGGTTGCCTACCCCTGGCCAAGGCTATGGAAATTATAGCCCTGCAGATGATGCAAATTATCGCTCTTAGAAGTCCTGTCCAATGGAACCAGTGGCAGACAAGATTAGAAGTTGTATTTTAGCAGTGTCTGAAGGCGTACAGATCTTTATTCTTTTTTTCTAAACCAAGACAGGACCTTCAGAATATTGTGGCTTCAATTATCACATTCTGAAAAATGCATCTTGACTCTTTTAAAATTTTATTGCTTTTTTAAATGAAAGAAACACATCCAATTCTTTTTTCAAATGCAAGATAATTAAGTAAAAGAGCAAATAGAACTTTGGCATATAAATATATGAACATGTAAGTCATCTTGAGAAATTAAAATTGTACTCAAAAAGACAAAGGTACAGCTAATCCTTAGGTTACAACAATTGGGACCAGGATTGTTGTCACTAAGTGATGAGTCACGTGACTGCATAGTTTAGTTTAGTTCTTGTTGCCATCATAACTCCACGCTGCATAAGAAGCAAATTGTAGAAGAGCAGGCAGAATTGGGGGGGGGGGGGCAGAGTTAAGGGAGTGATCTGTCTACAGTTGTAATGTTACCAAAAATGTTACCACAACCCCTCTTGAATTGTGTTGATCCTTACCTGGTGCCAATTTAGTACTGAACTTTAATTGACTTGATTCTTGTGTATAAGCTTGAGCAACAGATCTTTTGAACTGCAAGCTAACCTATGGTCCTGATGTTTTGCACCCAACACAAATGGCAGGAATCCCAAATAAGTAGCATAGGACTTCTGATGGGGAGGTGCTAGGAAGGCCTAGCCCACTGAACGTGTGTCAAAGGAGGCTGGGGAGAATTGGGGGGATATTACTGGTGGGAGTGATTTACTAGAGCAAATTGTGAGTTTTCCTGGTGGCTTCCCCATTGACTTTGCTTTGGGGAAGCTGGCAAGAATGTTGCAAATAACAATCATGTGACTGGAACTGCTGAAATTACAGGGATCAGTTGTATGCCCTTTTTTTTTAGCACTACCTTAATTTGTAATGGTTGCTAAACAAATGGACGTAAACCTAAGACCACCTGCAATATTTTAAGAAAAAAAATGTTTGCTCATACAGATAAGAAATATCAGCATTCATTTTCCCCTAGGGTAGGGGTAGGCAACCTTGGCTCTTTTATGACTTGTGGACTTCAACTCCCAGAATTCCTGAGCCAGGAATTCTGGGAGTTGAAGTCCACGAGTCATAAAAGAGCCAAGGTTGCCTACCCCTGCCCTAGGGCAACAGTTATTGTATTATCGGATACCAAAATACCAATTGGATACTAAAAGCATCTGATCCTGAATAGGTTGAAATATATGAATGTAAAGGAATAAATAAAATCTGCTGAACACTGCAGTAAATGTATTTATTTCCTTTCCTGTGTCCAACTACTGCTACTTACCCCACCACATGCTCTGTTCCTTCTTACTTAGAGCTTGAGGAATCTCAACAGAAATGTCCTCCTTGCTGGAATCACTTTGCAGTAAAATTTCTCATATGGGATTGCTGCCCAATGTGGCTCTTGATCAAGGAGAAAGTCAAGTTCATCATTATGGATCCTTTCAGCGACCTCACAATCACCCTTTGCATTGTGATGAACACACTCTTCATGGCCATGGATCACTACAAGATGACCAAAGAATTTGAGGAAGTGCTGAACGTTGGGAATCTGGTATGTAGGTCATGTTTCACGTGTCTTGCTTCCTTCCTCCAACTGATAGTCTTCAGGTACGCTTGGGCCACGTCTCCCAGAATTATTTTTAATCACGCTCTGGGAATTACTATCTCAGCGCATCTGGCTAAGAAATGAATAATTCATTCCAACAGGAAGATAAATGAAATGACATGATGGCTCAAGAGCCTATGTAACCCAGTTGCCTGTATTTAACAATGGTCAGTCATATGCCTTGGGTGTGTCTTATTATTGTCATCTCTGTTCATAGGGGATAGATTTACCGTATTAATTTACTTATTTTTATTTATTGTTAAATGTATATGGCTGCTCACCTCACTCAGAATAACAGAGTTGGAAGGAACCTTGGAGGTCTTCTAGTCCAACCTCCTGCTCAATCAGGAGACCCTTTATCATTCTGGGCAAATGGCTGTCCAATCACTTCTTAAAAATCTCCAGTGATGAAGCACCCACAACTTCTGAAGGCAAGCCATTCCACTGATTTTTTGTTCCCCCTGTCAGGAAATTTCTCCTTAGTTCTAGGTTGCTTCTCTCTTTGTTTAGTTTCCATCCGTTGCTTTTTGTCCTGCTTTCAGTGCTTTGGAGAATAGCTTGACTCCTTCTTCTTTCTGGCAACCCCTCAAATATTGAAACACTGCTATCATGTCACCCCTAGGTTTTCTCTTTATTAGACTAGACCAGGGCTAGGCAACCTTGGCTCTTTTATGACTCGTAGACTTCAACTCCCAGAATTCCTGAGCCAGCCATGCTGAGGGGAAAGGGAGAGTTTCCAAGCTGAGCCATGCTGGCTCAGGAATTCTGGGAGTTGAAGTCCACCAGTCATAAAAGAGCCAAGGTAGCCTACCCCTGGACCAGACATATCCAGTTCCTCCAACTGTTCTTCATATGTTTTAGCCTCTAGTCTTCCTATGACTCTGGGCAGGTAACAAGGTTAAAAATAAAATACAAAATATTTTTTTTAAATGCCACAAAAGTCATTAAAAAGAATAAAAGTGTTTAAAACCATTAGGACCATGCTATTGTTTTTATGCTAGTAGTATTACTATTGGCAAGATGCAATTCGTTTTAGGAAGAAAAAAAAAGGGGGGGAATGAGGCAAATTTCTGCACTTCACATAATGTTAGTACATCATCATCCTGACCCATGTAGCTCCTAAAAAGGAAAATAAATAAAGGGATATTGTTTGCCACAAAGAGATGGCACTTTAGCTATATAAGCTAATAATAATTGATTGCTTTACTTCCTATTACACATTCTTCCTGTTTTTCCTGTCCTTCACAGATGATGAACAGCCAAAGTTGGAAAATTGTGACCTAATTTAAGGGTTAAAAAATTGTGCCCTGTGGGTTGCAGATGCTTATCATCCCTTGAGACCTCACGTAATGAGATGGGGTCAAAACTATGGAATACTTTTTGCAGTTTGATTAAATTACAGGTTTTTCATCACTTATATAATTTTTAAGGGCATTAACTGTAAATAATAGTTGTGAGTTTGGGTTCCTTGATGTTCTCTGAGTTTGATTGTTTGATTGTTTTCTTGGAGACGTTTCATTGCTCAACTAGAACTAGATAACATCAGTGCCACCGGTAGTTGGATAATTGTTGGATAATGAAACATCTGCAAGAAAACAGTCAAGCTCAGAGAGCCCCAAGGACCCCATAGTTCAACCCTGAATTAGAAATATTGTCTTCCATTGATAGTTGTATTTCCAAAATTACTGAGATGTTACCAAATGCAGAAATGTATGTGTTTTATTTGAAACAGGATCACTCTTTTTACATAACCCCTAGTAGACAACAGTGGTTATATATAGAACGTAGAATCATAGGGCTGGAAGGGACCTTGAAGATCTTCTAGTCCAACTCCCCTCTCAAGGCAGGAGACCTTATACCATCTCCATCAAATGTTTTCCACTCTATAGTAGTAACTGTGAGAGGGATCTTGGAGTCCTAGTGGACAATCATTTAAATATGAGCCAGCCGTGTGCTGCAGCTGCCAAAAAGGCCAACACAGTGCCAGGCTGCATTAACAGAGGGATAGAATCAAGATCACGTGAAGTATTAATACCACTTTACAAGGCCTTGGTAAGGCCACACTTGGAATACTCCATCCAGTTTTGATCACCACGATGTAAAAAAAGGTGTTGAGTCTCTAGAAAGAGTACAGAGAAGAGCAACAAAGGTGATTAGGGGACTGGAGGCTAAAGCATTTAAGGAATGGCTGCTGGAATTGGGTATGTCTAGCTTAATGAAGAGAAGGACGAGGGGGGACATGATAGCAGTCTTCCAATATCTCAGGGGCTGCCACAAAGAAGAGGGAGTCAAGCTATTCTCCAAGGCGCCTGAAGGCAGGACAAGAAGCAACGGATGGAAACTAATGAAGGAGAGAAGCAACCTGGAACTAAGGAGAAACTTCCTGACAGTTAGAACAATTAACCAGTGGAACAACCGGCCTCCAGAAGCGGTGAATACTCCAACACTGGAAGTTTTTAAGAAAGTGGACAGCCATTTGTCCGAAATGTATAGGGTTTCCTGCCTGAGCAGAGGGTTGGACTAGATGACCTCCAAGGTCCCTTCCAACTTTATCATCATCATCATCATTATTATTATTATTATTATTATTATTATTATTATTATTATTATTATTATTATTATTATTATTATTATTATTATTATTATTATTATATTTTTTAAGACCTCCAGCCATGGAGCACTCACGATTCCAGGAGGAAAGGAAACTTCTCCTTATGGTTCTCTCTTGAACAAGCTTTCACCCACTGCTTTTTGTCCTGCCCTCAACTGCTTTGGAGAATAAGTCAATCCCTCAAGTACTAGAAGACAGATATCATGTTCCCTTTAATCCTTCTCTACATTAGGCAAAATGTTCCTATTTCTCTCTCAACTGGCCATCATACAATTTAGCTTCCAGACCCTTGATCAACTTTGTTGCTCCTCTCTACACACTTTCTAGGGCAGGGGTGTCAAACTGCCAACCCACGGACCGGACGCGTCATCCGGAAGCCGTGCCCACCCCATTGCCGGCAATGGCAAAACCGTCCCGATACTTTGCACGACATCACATGACGTCACGAGTTTGACATGTCTGCTCTAGGGTCTCAGCATCTTTTTTCTATTGTCGTGACTGGAATTGGACCCAATATTATAAGTATAGTATAAGCATAAGGGATTTTTGTGCATGTAATGATAAATTAATAAGATATTAAGATTTCAGGGTAGATATTTGGATGAGAATTAAAAGACAATGGAATACATGCTCAAGGAAGGTTTCAGTGCTCCAAAAATAAAATGATTGAGTGATTGTGGTGGAAAAATAAGGGATACCTTAAATTATTTCTGAGCCAAATATATGGCAGTCTTTAGATTTTTAAAAAAATCCTGTGGTATATAGGATGGCCAGTGCTGCCTTCCCCAAATACAACATAAACTGTATCCTCATTAATCTGGGAAACCACCCAGAACAAGGCAATCCTGCTTACGCTGAATATCCTGTTTCTTTTTGCAGATCTTCACTGGTATTTTTACGGCTGAGATGGTGTTTAAGGTTATAGCATTGGATCCATATTATTATTTTCAGCAAGGCTGGAATATTTTTGACAGTATAATTGTCACGCTAAGTTTGATGGAACTAAGCCTTTCCAGCATGGGAAATGTGTCTGTGTTACGCTCCTTCAGACTGGTAAAATATTTTACCTTTCTCTTTTTCTGTAAGACATAAAATGCAAAGCCTTTGCAATAATTTTAGCAGGATTAAAATAATAAAATAAAATAAAATTGCATGCGGGGTAGTAAAGGTAGTCCTCCACTTACGACCACAATTGACCCCAAAATTTCTGCTGGTAAGCAAGGCTGTTGTTGAGTCAGTTTTGCCCCATTTTACAATCTTTCTTGCCACAGTTCTCAAGTGAATCCCTGCAGGTGTTAAGTTAGTAATGTGGTTGTTAAGTGAATCTGGCTTGTCAGAAGGTTACAAAAAGCAATCACATGACTCTAGGACATCGCAACCTTCATAAGTATGAGCCAGTTGCCAAGCATCTGAATTTTGATCAGGTGACCATGATGATGATGCAAATTGTGAGAAATGAGCATAAGTCATTTTTTTTTCTGTGCCGTTGTAACATCAAATGGTCACTAAATGAATGGTTATAAGTTGAGGACTATCTGCACTTTATCTCCTTTCTTGTAATTAGCATCTTACCCATGTTTTCCATTTCATCCAATTTCATACAGTGGATGACTATACCAAGGGTAGGCCACCTTGCCTCTTTTATGACTCGTGGACTTCAACTCCCAGAATTCCTGAGCCAGCCATGCTGAGGGGAAAGGGAGAGGTTTCCATGCTGAGCCATGCTGGCTCAGGAATTCTGGGAGTTGAAGTCCACGAGTCATAAAAGAGCCAAGGTGGCCTACCCCTGGACTATACTTGTGTAACTGTACTATAGCAGCTCCTAAACACTATGAACACAACTGGTTAGCAGCAGGTGGGCAAATGAGGATAAGATTACAAAGCGCAGTGAAAGCAAACGATTGACTCAACTTCCTCTGGTCTCTCAAAGGGCCTTAAAACTACAACTCATCTCAAGGGTACCATGTTGATGTAGAGAGTTTGACATATGATAATTATGGCTGAACCCGTTGTGCTCTTTTCAAAACAATTTGCATAGCAAATACTAATTTATTTTAAAATAGTTTTATATCAGAGGGCGCAATGGCTCAGCGGTTAAAGACACTGAGCTTGTCAGCAGGAAAGCTGGCACCTAGGTTCAAGGCCCCGAGCACTGCCTGGTGGGGAGAGCTCCCAGGTCCTGCCCACCTAGCACTGTTAAAGCATGTGAGTGGGAGTAGATAAATAGGTACCACTTTGGTGGGAAGATAACAGTGTTCCATGCACCTTGGCATATAGCCATGCTGGTCACTTGACCATGGAAGAATCGTTGGTCAACGCTGGCTTCTTCAGCTAAGAAACAGAGATGAACACTGCCCCCTTGAGGTGGACAGGAAAAACCTTTAGTTTTATATCCATTTTCATGTTAATCATCTCAAAGCAATGTACTGAGAGCAGTACCAATAATCCAGAGTGCAAGTGCCAAGGTAGAGAAGGTTGATCTACAAAGAACATCAAGAAATCAGTCTTTTAGTCCTATAAATGCAGGACCACCTTATCTGATGATCTTTGTCATTACCCCAACCTTTCAGAGAGGACAACGATCAACTAGGTATCCTAGTCCCAAGCTTTAGCATTCTTTAGATACAAGGGCCTTGGTTTATAATGAGATTGTTGTTAGCATCACTAAGAGACATGGTTGTAAAGCCTAATGCCATGCGGCTGTGTCACTTAGTAACAGCAATTCTAGCGGTCCTAGTTGTTTTTGTTAAGTGAAGCCCTGCAGGTCTTTAAGTTAGGATCTGATTTGACTGCAACTTCCTGCTGGCTTCCCCATTGACTTTGTTTGTGGAAAGCCAGCAGAAAATGTTGGAACTTACAGTCACATGACTGTAGCTCAATGTGATGTTGTAAGCGTGAGCTAGGCACTAAGTGTGGGGATACAGGGATAGCCAGAACTATGAGAACCTGTTATAAGGGTCATTTGTTCAGCATTTTCATAACTTTGAATTGAACAAATTGTGTGCCAGAAATGCAACCTTTGAACCTGGCTTCATTCATGTTTGCTTCAGCACACTTCGGTGTAGTTGCTTTGTGCATCAACTATGGTATTCAGACAAAGCCTTAAGATAGCCCCACAAATAGTGTGTTATAGTAATCTTCTACTGTATAAATGCTTAGAACTAGGTTATCCATTGGCACGTGGGTAGAGAAAGCAAACTGTGGCCCATAGCTTGCATGATGCCCTCAGCCCCATCTTTGCAGCTCCATTAGATTTTCAAGCTTGCAATGCTTATTTGTAGGGGAGTAGGCAAAATCAGAATGTTTGCCCTTTAAAACACTGCAAGCCCCCAAAATAGGTATGATATAGAAGCGGTAAATAAAGTTTTCCCGACATTTTGTTCACCTTTCAGTGGCTTCATAGACATTTCTGCAGATTTCTTGGCAATAGTACAGTGGTGGTTTGCTATTGCCTTTTTTCAACATGTTTTTTTTCCTGACTTATCACTCTAAAGAGCTAAAGACCTTTGTTGCAGTCTCCCTCTTTCAAGCACTAGCCAAGTCTGGCTCTACTTAAACTTTTTGAGAAGAGACAAGATCATCTAGATATTACCATCTAATGTTAGCACTTCTATTTTGAACCTTGGTCCAAATGAGCCAAATACCTGTCGACTCTTCCCAGTTCAGGTTGTAACTTCATTGTCATGTCTCCTATAGACCCTCAAACTCCCTGCAGATCTCTCCCTCTCCCATTGCTCCACTTTTACTAAAGCTTCTGGAGACAGGATATGACTCTCCACTCAATGAAGATAAGGGGGTTCATTCAAAGCACCGCTAATTGAGACGGGTCTGAGGGTTGTCCCAAAGATGTGAGAGATAGGGGTGAGAATTATGCCTGCCACATGCAGATTTGGGATGCTGTTTGTTTCTTTTCCACATACTAAGCATTATACATGAACTAAAACAGAGGATGAAGGACAGAGCAACAGAACTCTTACACTTGTTTTTAATCCGCACTAGCTCTTCATCTTCTTCACAGGGAGTCCTCAAGTTAAAACCAAAATTGAGCCCAACATTTGTGTTGCGAAGTGAGACAGAAGTTCTTAAGTGAGTTTTGCCCCCATTTTACAACCTTCCTTGTCATAGTTGCTACATGAATCACTTCAAGTTATTAAGTTAATAACATGGTTGTTAAGTGAATCTGGCTTACCCATTGACTTCATTTGTCAGAAGGTTGCAAAAGGGGATCACGTGACCCAGGGACATTGCGACTGTCATAAATATGAGCCAGTTGCCAAGGGTCTGAATTTTGATCATGTGACCATGGGGAATGCTGCAACACTTGTGTGAAAAATGGTCATAAGTCACTTTTTTTAAGGGCCGTTGTAACTTTGAATGGTCACTAAATGAACAGTTNATCATTCAGTGTCCTTCTCTAAGACTTAGTTATGTTTTTGTGATTTTTTTCCCCTTACAGCTAAGGGTCTTCAAGCTTGCAAAATCTTGGCCAACCTTAAATACGCTTATTAAAATAATTGGAAACTCAGTGGGAGCATTGGGAAATCTTACCCTTGTTTTAGCCATCATTGTCTTCATTTTTGCGGTGGTCGGGATGCAGCTCTTCGGAGATTTCTACTACAAGAATGTCAGCAAAATCAGCAGCAACGGAATGCTACCCCGCTGGCATATGAAGGACTTTTTCCATTCTTTTCTAATCATCTTCCGCATCCTTTGTGGAGAATGGATTGAAACTATGTGGGACTGCATGAAAGTCGTTGGTCAGCCACTGTGTCTCCTGGTGTTTCTGCTGGTCATGGTGATTGGGAACCTGGTGGTAAGTACTGCAAAACATTTTGGGGTGGGTGGGGTACGTTCCACATCTTCACTACAGCTTCTAGTTTCCAGGGGATGAGTACAGGTAGTCCTCGATCTACAACTACAATAGAGCCCAACGTTTCTGTTGCTAAGCAAGACATTTGTGAGTTGCATCCCATTTGCTAGCAAGTCGTAAGTGAGCTGCATCCCATTTTCTGGCCTTTCTTGCCATTGTTGTTAAATGAATCACTACAGTTTTTAAGTTGGTCACATGGTTGTTAAATGAATCTGGTTTACCCATTGATTTTGCTTCTCAAAAGGTCACAAAAGGTAGACACGTGACATTGGGACACTGCAACCGTCATAAATATGAGCCCTTTGCCAAGCATCCAAATTTTGAACCTGTGACCCTGGGAATGCTGCAATAGTCATAAGTGTTGAAAACAGTCGTTTCAAAAATGCTTTTGTCAGTTCTGTGGGAACTAAACAAATGGTTGTAAGTCGAGGATTATCTGTACAAGAATTACTCTAAGAATTCCATGGCTAAAAGATGGAACATAGTTTCTTCAGCAATCAACAATCTTCTATGCATTGCATAACTACTTCTGTCAGTTATAAAGATTTGCAGGTATTGCAAACATAAAATCTTTCCAGAATGATTATGAATGAGAAAAAAAATAGAATAAATATATCCTTGATGGTTGCCAATCCTGAGGGAAACCAGATTCTCCCTCACAATCCTTGTCCTGTTCCAGGAAACTTACTTCCAGTGGGAAAAGTAAGGATGGAGATTGTGTCAACAGGTGAACTGAGGGAAAACATTGTCAGTATGCAACATATGCTCTTGGGGAATAATTTTAACAGCCATCTCGTCCTGGATTCAGATAGTACAAATGTATCTATTGTCTTGTCTTATAATTGATGATACAGCTGTATATTTCTGCTTTTGAAACATAGCACAATGTGTTAAGGGTCTGGGACAGATATTTTACCTCAGATATTTTACCTCAGTGTGTTCTGAGGTTATTAACTTGCCAGTAGGCCAAATCTAAAATGGGAGCAGTTACTGTAGGATAGATAATGAGGCCTCTTCCAAAAGTCACATTGCTATTTAGAACACACTGTGCCTCAACTAATCACAGTATATTTGTATGTCTGTATGACCAAGTGGTTTTACTTATCATGTCTGGAGAGTACCAGATCATCAAAGTTTACATCAACTTTGCCTCTGCAATTGGAACCATCTCTGATATGTTAGAGCTGTGGTGGTGAACCTACGGCACGCGTGCCACTAGTGGCACGCAGAACCCTCTCTGTGGGCACACGCGCCATCACCCCAGTCCTAGGCCTTCAGGTGCGTTTTATAAAATCTTTTCGCTTTAGGCCTCCACTGCCATGTGCAAAAAAAAAGTTCAATCAATCAATTTCAACTTCTTGTGGGAAAAAAAAGATCTCGCAAAGTTGGAATTGATTGATTGAACTTTTTAGTCCCACCCAGTCTGCCGTTACTGCTGCAGCCATGCCCACCCAACTGACCATGGTCACCCAATTGGCCACACCCATCCAATGGGCCACACCCACCCACATACATAAGTGGGTTTTGGGTTACAGTTTGGGCACTCGGTCTCTAAAAGTTTTGCCATCACTGTGTTAGAGATTGAGGGGTCCTTGGTGTTCTCTGAGCTTGGTTGTTTTCTTGCAAATGTTTCATCACCCAGACTAGGTAACATCATTAGTAATGAAACATCAGCAAGAAAATAACCATGCTCAAAAAGCACCCTCTCATTTCAGCCCTGAACTACAAATATTTTTCTTTATGTTATAATTTGTCAGAACAACAATTATTTCAACAAACATCACCTAGCCTAAAATCCAAGAAATGCAAACAAGAAGCCTATTAAGTCATAAGAAATGTAGGAAAAAGAAGCACTGGAGTTAAACTTAAACTACAGGTAGTTCTCAATTTACGACCACAATTGAGCCCGAAATCTCTGTTGCTAAGTGTAACAATTGTCAAGAGAGTTTTGCTCCATTCTACGACCTCCCTCGCCACAGTTGTTAAGTGAATCACTGCAGTTATTAAATTAGCAACATGTTTTTTAAGTGAATCTGGCTTCCCCATTGACTTTGCTTGTCAGAAGGTCGCAAAAAGTGATAACGAGACCCTGGGACATTGCAAGCATCATAAACAAGAGCCAGTTGCCAAGTGTTGAATTTTGATTACATGACCATGGGGATTCTGCAATGGTTGTTAAGTGTTAGAAACAGTTATAGGTCAGCTTTTTCAGTGCAGTTGTAACTTTCACCGGTCACTAAAGAATAGTTGTAAGTCGAAGTCTACTTGTATTTCTCATATTGATAGAGGAGAATGAATAATTTAAAGTAGCTTCATTTAGCATGCAATGAAGAATGTTTTTAGGTAAGGATTTCTCTAGTGTCTTAGTAGCTTCTGCCAGATTTAAGCCAGAAAAGTCTATCGCCATCCATGTTATGCCTCTGTAGAATTTGAGCACATATTACAGTCCTGTGGGATCACATCTAAGGAAAGCAGAGCTGCTGTGATTGAGTGTGTGGCTGTCAGCATGTGTGAAGGACATCTCCCACCAATCATTGCACCTTTAAAGTATTGGTCTGTCAAGATTTGTGAACTAGGTCTGTGTTGTGGAAACCACTAGCAGGCTTCAGACAGGACATTCAGTATAGAATAACTTATCTGAGCTTGAATTTAAGATAACATGCAATCATCTGGGTGTTAACGCTTGTGGCTCTCAAAACATCTTGGCAGTTCTGAAACCCTTGGTGTAAATGTGTGCTTCCTGCTGTCCAATCTGGCTCATAACAACACTGTGGTACGGCTGCCAGTGTTCAGTCAGATGGTGTGCATCATTCCTCTCGGAGAGTATCTTGACCGCAGCGTCCAAATTAGGGAGTGCGTAGCACTCTTTCGCAAAGTCACGTTGCACCACTGTAATCGATGCTTTTAGAGTGTCACTGACAAATGCCTTGAGATTCCAAAGGATTTGGAGGAGTGATAGAATGAGACTTATGCATTCACAGGGAAAGGGGATCAGATGAATCCTTGTCCTTTAATGATGTTGGCAATTGGGTTTTGCAAAATGGCTTACCCGGTTTCACACGAGAATAGGTATCACGGAGGAAGCTACAGTTTGGTTGAGTTACGAAGAACAAAGAAGGGTCTCTGCAGGATTCCCAGCCTTCTTGAATGATTGCCAACAAACTGCATCCTATGAGCTGACATAACAGAGTCACGGGGTGCCCCTGTTTGAACTGTGAAGTGATTTTGTAAATGGATAATAGTCTTGGTTGACTGGGTGGGACTGAGACAATGACATGGCTGTAGGAATTATGACCTCTAAGCCCTTGGACTAAAATTTCAGTCCTGTTCATATGAGACCACGGTTTATTTTATTTCTAAGCAAAGGTGGCAGATGAATGGAGTTATGCAATTCATTAATCATGCTTGAGAATCTGGAATTTCCTGTGTCACTATTTCGTATATGCGGATGTGATTGTGAACATTACCAGGAGGTCAGAAATGCTGGAGGTATGTCAATGGAGAAAGCCAACCTTCTGGAGAAAAAAAAAATCCTTCCAAAATAATAGACAACCCACTGAGTTAGCTGCTATAGCTTGGGAGTAAAAATGCAAAAAAAAATAATTTTGGCTGATTCATCAGTGTATTGTTTTTTTTTTTGTTGTGGTTGAATTTACTGTATATAATCAAGAAGAGAACCAGCCTAGAACTAAGGAGAAATGTCTAAATGTAAGAACAATTAATCAGTGGAATACTTACCTTCAGAAGTTGTAGGTGCTCCAACACTGGAGGTTTTTAAGAAGAGACTGGACAAACATTTGTCAGAAACAGTATTATTTTATTATTATTTTATTATTATTTGAATTTATATCCCGCCCTTCTCCTTGCGGACTCAGGGCGGCTGACAATCAATTAAAAACACCACTAACAATCACAAGTTAAAATTAATTAAAATGAAATATTTAAATTGTCTAATTAAAAAGTAATTAAAAACCCTCTAAAAAACCCCTTAAAAATTATCCTAGGCCAGTCCCGCTTGTTGGAACAGCCATGTCTTGAGGGCGCGGCGGAAGGAAGGGAGATCAGGGATCACCCTGATCTCTGGGGGCAGCTCATTCCAGAGGGTGGGAGCTCCCACAGAGAAGACCCTCCCCCTTGGGGTCGCCAGCCGGCACTGAGACCGGCTGCCGTGGGACTCCTCTGGGTGGGACACCCTCGCATGACCGGCTACCCTCCATTAGACACCGTCTTCCGCCAGAGCTTCCATAGGACCAGGCGACGGTACCTCGCGGAATTTCTACTATCAGTCATGGAACTTCGCGTGGGCCTTCCGGTGGCCGTCGGTATGCAGCTCGCGCAGCAGCGGTGTTACGTGTATAGAGTTTCCTGTTTGAGCAGGAGGCTGGACTAGAAGACTTTCAAGGTCCCGTACAACTTTGTTATTCTATCCTCCCTTTTCTCCAAGAATTTTTCCCTACTGCAATTCTTTGGATCAATTGGGCTGAGAGTCAATGGTGGTCAAATTCAATGAGTATCCCTGGCTGATGACATGAATCTGGCTCTCCTTGGTCTACTATGTTAAGTAGTATCTGTGTTGATGAAATCAGATTACCTGAAGAAACAGGAGATTCCATCTGATCTAAATCTACAAATTTCAATATGCTTCAACAATTTTTGTTTATGTATTTACACTATTAAGAAAATGTATATGGCCGTCCTACATACCCTCGGTGACTACAGCGACTTAAAATGATAAAACACCAATACAAAACCTAATAAACTTCTACCTCCTTGGTGGAATAAGACCAGAACAGTTGACAGGCTCCATCCCACTCTGGGGTCCTCAGGCCCGCTGGCTTAACCATGTCTTTAGGGCTTTTTGGAAGAGTATTAAGATAGGGGCCAGTTTTATCTCTGCAAGGATGATGTTCCACAGGGAGGGAGCCACCATGGAGAAGGCCCTT